GCAGTGCTCCTCTTGCCGTCTGGCTTTTCCTTTACGCGCCCTTGGCCATGACTGTTCAACTTTATCTGTTTTGGGTTACCTTACCGTAGGTACCTCCTAGTAAGTCCCGGGACGCATGCCTGCGGGTCTTTCAAGTGTCCTCCTGGCAAGTACTGTTGCAATTCTCGTCGCTTGGGGATGGTTCAAAAGATACGACACAGATGTTCGTTCAACATAACAACCACGTAGGTACCGATTTCGAAGATAGCAAAACTCAGCATTAACCTTATTCACCTTGTATCAAACAATGATTCTTGCATTTGTGTGTAATCTCATTGGGAAGTTTTGGGTCTAGCTGGAACATTTTGCGTAATTTAATAAACAAAGTTCCTTGAGGCGGATGCTATGATGGGGTCGAGTGGCCTTGGTTGTGCGAAAGGGACAAGGTGAGAAGACGGTCGAAGAACCATCAAAGTAAAGGCGAACTCCAACTCAGACACATGTAACGTTGACCCTGTTGCAGTTGTACGCCTGAAGTTTGGGAACGGGTCTATCCATATACTCTGTATTAAGAGCACGCGATGTACGATGGGGGACTATCTAGATAGCTTTGTGTTGATATATGTTGAAGGAAATATCGCTAGTTAGTCGCATCAATCAGGTCTCGTCTACGATACTCCATATCTGGAGCTTCAAAGCGTAGACGTGTCTTGCAAGGTTAGATCACTACGACTATGGTAGTAGCATCCCATTCACCTAACCAACAGCACACATTCTGGAACACAATAAGGTTGTTGATGTTCGAGTCCGACGACGGTGGTGAGGAATTTTGTGAGACATGCCGGCAGACCACGATGGGCCTCTCTCGCGTGGGCCAACTTGGGCGATGCCAGGCACAGGCCGAACCTTACAGGCGGGACAGGCTAAGCTCCAGGCTCCAGTGGTCCCCAGAGCTCTCCGTGCATCGTGTCCGGCCAGCAGGGGTTCTAGGGGACCAGGGCTGGGCTGGAGAGCCCCAGAGCAGCCCCAGAGCAGCAGCCAATGCGCTGTAGAGTTTCCTCATCCAGCAGATCCAGCAGCAGCAAGATCTGTCCAATGAGCAACCGCTTGTCCCCGGCTGACCGCTGCAGCCGTTTGCTTGCTGAAGCCAAGCTCCGCCAGCCTGCTCGGCTCTGCATGCTTGCTTGCTTGCTTGCTTGCTTGCTTCATTCTTCGTTCTTGCCTGATTGCGGCAAGCTGTCCTCCGTCACCCACCCTCCATACTACCGCGACTGACACCCAGAGGGATCTGTGCGATCGAACATCTGTAACCAAGGGTGCCCCAAAAACGTCGTCCCTCCAGAATCATCACCTTTTCCATCCACGAAACCATGCCGCTGTGACCGTTCCGCCCACCTACGTCAGACCACATCGATCATGCGCATACGGTTACCTTTCGCAGGTCAGTCAGCCCTACGCTGCGTTCAGCTTGCTTCGTGATGGTTGCCTTGGAGCTTGAGCACCCGTTCCGTCGCCCTCGCTCCCGTCCTAGCAAGCGCAAACCTCAGATCTTAGGCGAAACTCCGTCGCTCTATTGTCGTGCTGACATGGACTCACTGGTATAGGCGGATTCTTCCTGCTCTGCCTCCTCGCAGGCTATGCAGGACTATCGTCGCTCCAGCTCGGTGCCGTAGTAAACGACAAAGTGTTACACATCGTCACCTTTTTCGTCCTGACCATCGTCTTTTACTGGATCGTCGACACCAACCGCCGCCGAACTCTAAATCTGACCCTCACCGTTTGCACTGTTGTCCTCGGTATCGGTTCCGAGTTTCTTCAGGGCTTCCTCCCGAACGGCCGCGAATTCGATCTCTATGACATCGTCGCCAATATTGTGGGCAGCCTGGCCGGTCTGGGTCTATGCTCCTGGTACCATATGAGGATGCTGGAGAGGAAACGACAGCGCAGACTGTACAACGCCGTCCCAGGCGAGGAGCCCACCGACCTGGAACTGGGAGAAGGTATCGGTGAGCAAGAGGAGGGCATCACCCCGACAAATGCACACCAGAAAACAACAAGCCTGGAGCAGGAGGTTGATAACTGGGACGAGAACGCACTGGATGACTGGGATGATGGCGACGACGCTGGTGTGGAGATGGGGACGAGCAAGGGCAAGGAACCCGAACATCAAGCCGGCGAAGCTGCGGACAGCAAAAAACGAGCCGACTAGAGGCGACACGCACCGGAAGCTACGAGAAGACGAATGAATGGATGGACGGAATCTATGATACCTTTTTCTGCTGTGGCGTAATGGGAATTGTTGCAGCATTGAGCGCACCATCATCTATACCAGCCTAGAATTGCTTCGCGATGTCACGGAGTACCAAGCCTTCTGGCTGCTATAGATCCGGAACCAATTCATACGATTTGCAAACAAAGTACGGCCACCTGTCCATCTCAAGAAGACCATAAGCAGATTTGCAGACCTTGAGAGTGGCACCACGGTGGTGCAACACTGGTACAGTCCATTTTTGCCACGGTGGTGGATTTCCTTATGAGCTCAGCATGCGAGGGCTCATAAGGTACTTACTTACCTGTATGAATGCAGTAACCACACCCGAGTATGGCAGGGCGCGGTCTTTCACGTTTATTTCTTTCTCAACTATCCCGATTTTATTAGGTATGGAGGCTAAATAAGAGGAAGGCATGCTCGGTTAAGTCTCGGGGTAACCGTCGGGACTGACTCCATTTTCTGGAGCAGTTGCCAACACCGTCACGCGGCTATGGGGACCGCACTCGGGAGTTCGTGACAACAACACCCCGTACATTCATTGTCTTTCCTCCGTAAAATTTCGTCTTTCTACATCCGTGCTGGCGTTAGACAAAATAGATATCATGTCTTCACAAATAGAAACGAACGGCACGACGGAGAAGCCGTTGAACCGCGCTGCAGAGGTCGAAGATGTGAGTTCGGCCCGTTTCTGTCATCCTCGGCACGTTGCCGCTGTGCCGGTGACGGAAAACGCCAGCTATGTATGTACACTTGCTAACTGTTCTCTATAGCTGATAGATGCAGTCAAATCTTTGATTATTCCCTATATTCGCGAGGCGGACCACGCAGCCTCCACACGAGCCGCTGGACGGATAGACCCCGATGCCACGGGGACTGTTCGCAACGTCTTGGTCGACGCACAAGGTCCAGAGGAATTGGTGAAACGCATGCGATTGACCTTGCCTGAGACCGAGGGTAAAGGGAAGGACGGGCTGTTGGACGCCGTCCAAGATGTACTCAAGTACAGCGTCAATACCTGGGATCAGGGTTTCATGGACAAGCTGTACGCAAGTACGAATGCTGTACGTTGACCAAGGGCCATATATCTCCGTTCCAATCACTGACAAAGATACAGGTTGGCGTGGTATCAGAGCTCCTGCTATCATCTCTCAACACCAACGCAAGTCCTCCTTTCCCCCCATGCTCAACCTCATCCCTCTAACCCGTACCAGCTGCACGTCTACCAAGTCTCTCCCGCCCTTTCGGTGATCGAGAAAACCACCGCACGGTCACTCGCCGCCCTCTTCGGGTACACGGGCCCGCGTGCCGGGGGTGTGACATGCCAGGGCGGCAGCGCATCCAACATGACCTCGTTGATCGTGGCGCGCAACACGCTGTTCCCCGAGACGAAGACCGACGGTAACGGCGGCCACCGCTTCGCCGTCTTCACGTCTGCGCACGGGCACTACAGTGTGGAGAAGGCCGCGGGAACAGCCGGCATGGGGTCCGGCGCCGTGGTCAAGGTGGGCGTCGACGCCCAAGGACGGATGGATCCCTCGGCCCTGCGCGCCGCGGTACTCGAGGCCAAGGAGCAGGGCAAGACGCCGCTGTACGTGAACGCCACGGCCGGGACGACGGTCCTCGGCAGCTTCGACCCGTTCGGCGCGATTGCCGACGTCTGCGACGAGTTTGGACTCTGGATGCACGTGGACGGGTCATGGGGCGCGCCCGTCGTGTTCTCGAACTCGGCGGCCCGGCGCGAGAGTCGGCTGGCCGGCATCACGCGCGCGCGTTCCATCACCATCAACCCGCACAAGATGCTCAACGTGCCGGTGACGTGTTCATTCCTGCTGGTGCCCGACGTCGCCCTGTTGCACCGCGCCAACACGCTGCCGGCCGGATACCTGTTTCACAACTCCGGCGGGGCAGGCGACGACGGGGACCACTACTGGGACCTGGCGGACCTGACGCTGCAGTGCGGGCGCCGCGGCGACGCCCTCAAGCTCGCGCTCGCCTGGATCTACTACGGCCGCGCCGGGCTGGGCGCCCAGGTCGACCACGCCTTCGACATGGCCACGCTCCTGGCCACGCGGATTGCCGAGGCCCCGGACTTCGCGCTGGTGTCGGAGAACCCGCCCCCGTGTCTGCAGGTGTGCTTTTACTACGCGCCTGGCGGGGTCTTGAGCGAGGACAAGGACCAGAATACGAAGACCACGAGTCAGATGGTGGCGAGACTCATCCAGCGCGGGTTCATGGTGGATTATGCCCCGGGGCCCAAGGGCAGCTTCTTCCGCATTGTCATGAACTGCCAGACGAGACGTGGAACGGTCGGGGGGTTGGTCAAGGCGCTTGGAGAGATTGGGAAGGAGGTCGTACCTTCGTCGTAGGCAGGAGGGTCTGGAAGGGGCATGTCTCCAGGGCTGAGCAGGAACAATGCTTTGGTGCAGATAGACTTATGTGACTTCCACTGGAATGTGCAGCTGACTTGAGATGGAAAGATCCATCACTCTCGACCCTTGCTGACCTTCTGCATCTGTAACAAATGCCAACCAACTCATCCTACGCACCTTCAAGACCTCATCCCTCCAGAAGCCACGTCACCTCAAGCCACCTCGACTGAAGCCACCTTCGTCTACCCTACCTGCCTGAACCCATTGCCGACCACCTCGTATGTCCCCGGGCCGAGCTGTTGGGGTTGTTGTGGGGTAGGCCGCGCTTATATGTATATCCATATGAGCACAGTTCACCACACAACAACCCCAACAGCTCGGCCCGGTTAGCTCAATCGGTAGAGCGTGAGACTCTTAATCTCAAGGTTGCGGGTAAGTTATCAGTCACCGGTTCAATCCACAAGTTCAACATATTAACAATTGTCCTCAGGTTCGACCCCCGCATCGGGCTCAATTCCTGGTGCATCTCTGAAAAAGAGATTACCAACCTTGCTTTTTTGTCTTTCTTCCTTCCTTTTCCCTTGCAGGCGTTTAACAGCGTTTAACAGCGTATATTCTTTGGTGATTTTTCACTAAGATTTTTGGGGGACTTTTGGCGTTTTGGCGACGGTGCATGCCATTGAATTGGGCGGCCATGTCACTACAGGCAACACCGTGGTGCTCGGAATGCAGACTCCCCCCGCCTTCACTTCCCGAGCTGTCGTCGGTCCGGCTCAGAGACGCGATCGCGTTCTGGGTAGGGTTTTGCTGGATGAAAACCGTCATGACAAACAGCGGCTGTCGCATTCCTGTTTGTAATCCCTGCCTCGGCCCTCGGTAGGTATGCGATTCCCTGGGAACACGATAGGCTTGGTTTTTGCACTGTTCCGTGATGTTCGCTTTCCTCATCAATACCGCTTCCATTATCTGAATATCTTTCCTACTTTCAGGCTGCTGGCCTCCACGACTGTTCTGTCAATTCAGATCCTACTGTTTCGCCTTTTCGGCCTTTCTTAGGCACATTTGAGCGGCTACCGTCCTGGATCCGGATGAGAAAATGCCTTCTGGATACCTCAGACCTCTACTGCGGATTTTGGCAGGCCCTCCATGATGTCGTGCCACGGCGAAGAGATTCTATCCTGCCATCACGGCACACCGTCGATCAATCACCCACCTCCCGGCTGCGCTGAATGCGAAAGTATTTTTGGAACTTCTCATTAACCAGATTCGAGTTAGGCGCCAGGCGACAGGCGACATGCATTTAGTGCGGTCACCATGAGCAAAGGAGGGGGATGGGACACCCATAACCCTGATCTACGAAGGGGGAAAGCAGGCATCCCCAACTACATCCAAGACAAGCATGGTTCGGCCCGACCCTGTTGGAAGCCAACCTCCAAGTCATCCTTCAACGCCGACAGGGCGCAGGCGTAGTTTAGGGGGGTGTCTCGAAAGCTTCGCACCCCATGGGGTTGTTGCTGATCGGCGCTTACCGTAGGACTGGTGGTCCAGGGAGTGCCAACGCCGAAAATACACCCATGTGACGAGCTGCGAATGAAGGATCGTATCATCGCAACCAACTTCGAAAAGACGGTGGATTACGATGCGCTTCCTTTTGCATCACCGTGGCAGGCCGCAGGATACTTAATGGCCATTCCTAGCTAAGTAGCTAGGTCAATGGACCACGCTCCCTCTCGCAATATCTTACTAGTGCCCACCATTCACCATTCCAAGAGACCGCTTCCCTATCACTGCCGGTGTTCCTCCATCCATCAAGATGGCTTTGACACAGCTCCTCGACGCAAGAACGAAGAGTACGACGAGAAGGGAGCGAGACTCGGTGACTCTGTACGCCGGTGGGGATCGTCCGCGATGGGTGGACTACGTCCCTTCTACATGGCGTCCCTATGTTCAACTCACACGTCTCAACTTCGCCGGACCGGTCATGCTCATCTACTTCCCGCACCTATGCGGCGTCCTTCACACTGTCATTCTGAACCCGGGGTCTCACCCCATTGACGAAATTCTTTGGGCCTGCCTCCTTCTTCTTGGGGGTAGCTTCTTCTACTCCAACGCCGCCCACGCTTGGGACGACATCGTTGATGTCCCCCTCGACAGACTTATGGAGCGGACCAAGAACCGCCCCATCGCCAGAGGAGCCATCACCATGCGTGCGGCTTTACTGTTCACCGTTGCACAGGGTTTAGCGGCAGCCAGCTTCCTGTTGTTCTTACCTAGTTCCACGGCACCAAGCACTCTCGGGTCGATCTTGACCGCGGCTTACTACCCCTGGGCCAAAAGACATACACACTTCCCGCAGCTTGTTCTCGGCTTCTGCCTCGCCTGGGGCGTGATGACCGGCAGCGCGGCCTTGGGCGTTCAGCGTCCCTGGGGTGACTCCTCCCGGCTATCGCTGGTCCTGGCTTGCACCTTATGGACGGTCGTCTACGACACGATCTATGCTTACATTGACGTCCCTGACGACCTGAAGCTCGGTGTGAAGAGCACTGCCGTCCTGTTCAGAAACCACATGAAGCCTTTCTTGTGGTGCACTCTCGCTGGCATGGCCATCTCGCTACATTGCTGTGGACGCCTAGGTGGCATGGGTCACCCATACTTTGGCATTGCCGAAGGTGGTTCCGTGTTGTCGGTCGGGTTCATGATCTACAAGGTGGACTTGAGTAGTTCGAAAAGTTGTTATCTCTGGTTCTCTAGGGGCTTCTGGATGCCTGGCATTGCTCTCGCTGTGGGTTTGATGGCAGAGTGCATCCTCCATTAGTGAAGTATATCAGGGTAGGATAGGTTGGCCCATGTGGCGGCGACCGCCTTCGGTTCTTGAAATCGGTTACGTGTGGTCTGAAAGAGAGGTAGTTGTAGGCTTGTAACTCGATTTCAGCGTCCAGGCTCTCGAATTCTAGCCTAGGTATGTTTGCCTTGTATGTATTCTATGGACTTCTCTCGCACATGGAAATGGCTGAAGTGAGGCATCTTGATGAACTCGGAGCCTCGAGTCGAGGTCTCTGAATCACACCCAGGCCCCAGGGCAGACTCATCAGCAAGGCACTTCTACGGATAGCAAATTGCCGGACGCAGGCAGACGCGCTTTTCGTATAGCAAGCTTAATCGTACGGTAGACTGTTGGTAGGTAGGCACCCGCAGACTCGGGCCCCAGCTCCGACACTTTCGGAACCGCGATCCAATGCAAGGAGCGGTAGGCTTTCACGGTCAGATCGAGGTACCATCATGCAGAGTAGGCCCCAAGTCGATCGGCATCAGAGCGGATGGCGGTCGATGCGCGGGATGCCGAAGTAAGCGCGATATCGATCGTGATAGTTCATTGGACTCGAAGACCGAGGTCATCGCTGACCCGAAGCCACCAGACGCGCGTGTGGGTGACATTGGGGGCGTCAGCTTCGCAGCCGGAGGATTGTGGCGTTGCCCGCCAGGTGGCCAATCAAACCCTAACATGTAGGTAATCACGGTAGAGGATTACTTTGAAGAATCCCTGTTCACTAAGGTCCTCGCATGAATCGGTCTGACTGACAGACTGGATCCCCATGGGACCAGCAGTGGTTTATTGCTGTCAGCGGAACCGGTTGCCCCGAGGACCTCAAGTCCCTTCCGAAGGGTGTTGCGGCTACCTTAGACACTATCTGATGGAATCTTGCCTCTCGATGTAGACTGGCCAAGAGTGAGGTACCCGGGTGATATACGCTTTGCATTGCCATTCATTCTGCGGATTGACCTGGCGAATGGAGTAGTCCCGAACGATCGTGGCCGCGATCTTGAATATCTCAATCTGGGCAAGGTTCTCGGCAGGGCATTTGTTGCCACCAAGACCGAACTTTCCATCGTTAGGTTGAACATGGTATCTTGATAGGGGGAGGTGCTTACTATCATCCAGTACTTGAGTTTTGAGGAAATGTCGTCCGCAAACCACCTTTCCGGGTTCCACTCGTCCGCGTCGGCCCCCCAGCACTCTTTCGACTTCTGCATCACGCTGGCAATTTTCTCCTGCTTAGCTTTCTCTTTCGGTGCTTTTCCTATGCTGAACATTGGAGTGGTGCTTACTTCGGGTTGATAGACAGGATGGTGCCGTCTGGGAAGCACGTGTTCCCAATCGTGATGCCGCCGGCAGGTGCAACACGCGAAAGCCCAAAGGGACTCGGCCCAAACAGTCTCAAGGCCTCGTGCATGCACGCTCGAAGATACGGGAGCTTGTGGGTATCTTGAAACGAAATCACTCGGTCTTGGCAGTGTCCTGTTAACTGTGCCGTCGCGATCTCACGCTGCACTCGTCGCCAAGAGGACGGATGCTTGATCATGTGGTAAACAAATGTCTGCAGTGCGCCTGGGTCATTATTCTGGTCAGCACGTCCGAATCGACCGTACCGGCTGAAAAATCAAAAGACCAAACTCACATGATACCGTGTCCGACGAAGCAGAGAGCGTCACGATAACCTGGGCCTCGATGTCGCGGAAGGTCAAAGCATCGCGATTTTCGCGGTACATCTTCAGCCAATGCGCTAGGATGTCAAAGCGAGCATCGGGGTTCTCCGTTCTGCTCTTCAATGCGAGGTTGAGTGTCTTGAGGACATGACCTTGGCTGAGGAGGCCCGTCCACGTCATCAGAGGATTGGCAAGCAGTAGAACGTGCAGCCAGAAGAAGTATCCGGCCATGGCAGCATAGCGGTTCAATTTCCAGCCGAGTCGGATATGGTTTCCAATGTCTCGGCCTTGAGCGGTGAAGCCGAATGACCTGGAGAACATGGCCTCGCCTGCGATGTCGAGTGCGGTGTACGAGAAGAACTTGTCCAAGTGCATGGGCCTGCGAGTTTCCGCGTGGGTATCCATCCAATCCAGGAGGTTTCCGATGATGGTGTCGAAGTGACTTTCCGACCGGAGCAAGTTGGAGAACGAGAAACCCGGACTGAACAATTTCGTACGTTCCGCCTTTGCTTGCGGGTCGAGAATAGATGGGGTGTTTTTGTAACGATAATCCGGCAAAGAGAACACTCGATACCAGTCTCCCTTCATCGACTTTAGCCCTGATCCGCTGAGGCCACAAGATGATGTAGTCAACGTACCTTGCGTAACGGCGACTGGAGGATCAGCGAAGGTCCATCTGGGTGGCTCACGCTGACCTCGTTGGGTGCTATCCGTACGAAGTGTCCATGTTTCTGGTGTAGCGCTATGGTTGCAAGATTGTTATCGCCCTTCATGATATGGAACAAGTGCCATAGGCGTGTCAAGGATGCACAGACTGGGCCCGGCAGACTGGCCAAAGGAGAGAAGTATAGTCGATGAATTGCGCCATGAACGAAGAAGGCCAAGAACAAGGCCACTAAGAGAAATAGCCACATCGTGGAGTTGTAGCAGACAGTGAGTAGGTAGCGTCAACAACGGTGGATACGACGT